AGGAGCAGATTTTGGAGGAGAAGATCAAGATCAATCTGGGGCTTGTTCAGTTTGTGATGTGTGTTAGACATCTAACTGAACATATCAAATTGGCAATTAAATATACAAGTCTAGAATGAGGGGAGAGTTCTGGGCTGGAGATAGAAATTTTGGAATTCACTGGCATAGATGTAGTATGTAAAGCCACGGGAATGGATGAGATCGCCAAGGGAATTGCATGTGGACGGAGGGGACTGAGCTCCTAACATTTGGTGGTTGGTAGAACTGGCAAAGGAGACCAGAGAAGGGCTCACTGTGTGCCAGGTACTGGTTTCAGCACTTCAATGTTTATAAGCTCATTGAATCCTCACTTTAACTCTGGGACATAACCATTACTATGTCAGGGGACTTCAAGTACCTCGCCTAGCTCTCACAGTAGGTGACAGAGCCAAGTCAAGCACAGGCCATGTGTCCTACACCCTGCCCTAATCATCAGGCTATCCTTCCTCCCAGCAACTATACCAAACGTTTATATTTTTACTTATTTAACAGGATGGGCTTCTAGTGCAGAGTAACTTAAACAGGATCTACGTCCATTAACTTTACTCTGAATCTCAATTTCTGCATTAGTAACATGCCAGCCTGCCTCTTTCATAGGACTGTGTTAAAACTAACAATGGTAGTGGACTTGTGAAGCTCAAAGTGCAGTACCTACATTACACTGTGTCACAAGATCTCTGGGATGGAGGAGACCTTTGAAAACCCCCAAATAGAATATCATCCCCTTCCTGATGCATGTCACGATAACATCCCTATCATACCTTGTGCTGCTTCTCTGCTTGGGCCCTTTCTCTTTCTACAGTTCTGTTTGTAAGGAACATCTTTAAGCCAAAAGACCCTTCTAATTTCTACTGCTCCCATATAGCTCCCCACTTCCTGAGATGCTGAGGATGTCTATACATGAATAACATGCTCATATGCCCTTGGATTTCTCCAGGCACCACTCTGATTGTCATTTTCTACTTGAACCGAGACATATTTTTCCAAAGCACTTGGAATCAGTCACCGGCAAGAAAAATGGAAAGTATTCTTTTTCAAAATATTTTATTTTATTTTAAGTTCTGGGATACATGTGCAGAATGTTCAGGTTTGTTACATAGGTAAACGTGTGCCATGGTGGTTTGCTGCATCAACCCATCACCTAGGTATTAAGCCCCACATGCATTAGCTATTTATCCTGATGCTCTCCCTTGCAAAATAGAAACTATTCTGAACAGAACAGAATGGCTGAATACAGGGAGCCAGTTACACAGGTGATGAAAGAAGTTGAGACAATAACCCTGAGGCAACCCAGAGAGTATCAACAGCAGTAGTCACCATTCCAGCCAATGGAAGGGTAACAGTGGCGTTTATTTATTTGTATTTATTTATCTTTCTTGAGATGGAGTTTTGCTCTTATTGCCCAGGCTGGAGTGCAGTGGCACGATCTCGGCTCACTGCAACCTCCACCTCCCGGGTTCAAATGATTCTCCTGCCTCAGCCTCCCAAGTAGCTGGGATTACAGGCATGTGCCACCACGCCCAGCTAATCTTTGCATTTTTAGTTGCATGGAGCTTTAGTTTAGCTCCATGTTGGTCAGGCTGGCTTCAAACTCCCGACCTCAGGTGATCCGCCCACCTCAGCCTCCCAAAGTGCTGGGATTACAGGCATGAGCTACCACGCTGGGCAACAGTGGTGTTTATTAGAGTCTACGGGCCTGGGTTAACCTGGCTGAAGCTAGGACCACAAAAAGCCTTTGTATCAGAGGCTGGAGCCATGGAAGGGAAACTGCAAGAGGCAGAGAACAGGGAAAGAAAAGCCCCGGCTTCTCCCTTGCCCTGACTCCTGAGAGTGCCTCCTGCTAAGGTATAGATGTAAATGATTGCCAGCCATTATTCTAGAGGTCACAAGACATTGCAACTTCCCCAATTACTCCTGCAGATAACATCACTATTGTAGAACCTCAGTTTGGCTTTTTGAAATGTCTTTTCAGGTTTTTTGCATTTCTGACACTGATGGCTCTACCTGGACCCACCAGTCACTCCTGTGGCCCCACCCAGCAGTGAGTAAGCTCACTGGAAGACCATTTCCCACACCCCTATGATTGCAACCCCAGCCAATCAGTAGCAAGCACCCATGGCCTAGCCACCCATACCCCATCCCACAAACTACCTTTGAAAACCCCTGGCCCCCAAATGCTCGAGGAGATTGATTTGTGTAATAACTCTGTCTCCCTGTGGCCTCAGTCAAACTCTTTCTTTACTGCAATGCCATGGTCAGTGAATTGATATTGTCTATACAGCAGGCAGGAAGAACCCATCAGGTGGTTACACTACATGACCCCAGTTGTCCTCTCCACTGACACTGCCTTCTGCTTGTGCTTCAGCCTAGAGCCTGTGTGTCGTACCTGTGCCTTCTGCCTGTACCCACACAGACTATCATGTGCTGGTCCCTTCTTGTCATTCAGGTCTCAACTCAAAAGTAACTGCCATCAGGAGGCCTCTCTTGACATCCCCCAGATATATTAGCATCCTACCACCCTGGCCCATGCCTTCTATCTTTTTATAAGGACGAGTCATATTGGATTGAGAGATCACCTTACTCCAATATGACCTTCTCCTAATTACATCTGCAATGACCCTATTTCCATCTAAGGTCACATTCTGAGATACTGAGGTCTAGGTCTTCAACATATTTTAGGGGGACACAAGTCAATTATAACAGGAATCTTTAGGGTATAGATGATAATTCAAGCCATGAGGCTAGAGGTGACCACTTCACTAGCCCCTACGGAGTTCACAGAAAGGAGATGGAAAACTAGCTTTGGGGCTGGGCATGGTGGCTCTCGCCTATAACTCCCCCAGCACTTTGGGAGGCTGAGGCAGACAGATCACTTGAGGTCAGGAGTCCGAGACCAGCCTGGCCAACATGATGAAACCCTGTCTGTACTAAAAATACAAAAATTAGCCAGGTGTGGTGGCAGGTACCTGTAATCCCAGCTATTTGGAAGGCTGAGGCAGGAGAATCACTTGAGCCCAGGAGGCAGAGGTTGCAGTGAGCCAAGATCGCCGCACTGCACTCCACCCTGGGTGACAGAGCGAGACTCCATCTAAAAAAAATCAAAACAACAACAATAACAAACTTAGCTTTGGGAAAGGCCACCCTATAGAGTTGAGATGAGGAGAAGCCAGCAGAGAGGCTGAGAAGGAGCAGTAACTGTAACTGTAATAGGCCTGTTGCCTGATGTGTGCAGCAAGTCAATATGCCAAGACAGGGGGTTGCAGTAGAAAAAGAGGCTTACTAATAGGGCCTCCAATCAAGGAGATGGAGGGAAACCTCAAATCCTCTCTCAAGGAGTTTGGGGCTTTTCTAAGGGTTTTTTAAGGAGTAGGCTGAAGTATGGAGGCTGCTGATTGGTCAAAGAGAGCAGGACGAAATCATGGGACAGAGAAAGAAGCAGCTGTATTCTCATGCTGATTCCATTCCTCTGTTGGTGTCTTCAAACTGGTTGGTGTCAGCTGTTTCACTGGAATTTGTGATCTGAAAAACATCTTAAGCAATTTTTTTTTTTTTTTTTTTTTGAGAGAGAATTTTGCTCTCGTCGCCCAGGCTGGAGTGCAATGGCATGATCTTGGCTCACTGCAACCTCCGCCTCCCAGGTTCAAGCGATTCTCCTGCCTCAGCCTCCTGAGTAGGGAGGCTAGGGAGGCTGGGATTATAGGTGCCCGCCACCATGCCTGGCTAATTTTTGTATTTTTCGTAGAGATGAAGTTTCACCATGTTGGCCAGGTTGGTCTTGAACTCCTGACCAGGCAATCTGCTCGCCTCGGCCTCCCAAAGTGTTGGGATTACAGGCATAAGCCACTGCGTCCAGCCTTAAACAATTCTTAAACAAAAGCCTTATGATTCTAATGTCAGAAATCCTACCTATAGGAGCAGTGGAGATGCAAATGGTCAGTATCTAGTGCCACATGACTTTTGGTTACAAGGAAGTGGGTCAAAATACAGCCTGATTAATGCTTAATTATAACTCTATTTCTCTGCAGAATTCATGTTAACCCTGTGAGGAGGGCTTCAAAGTGAGGTAGGAGCAGGCTGGGAGTGTGTGGTGTCCTGGAAGCCAGGGAGGAACATGTATCAAGGAGGAGGGAGGATTAACCAAGTCCACTGTGGCTGATAAATCAAGAAAGAGGAGAATGGGAAAATGGCCATCTGATGTGACAACACTGAGGTCACTTGTGACCTTGACAAGCACTGTTCCAGTGGAGTGGAGGGGAGTAAAGCCTGACTGGTGTGTGCTCATGAAGGAATGGGAGAGAGGACCTGGGGGAAGCAATGACAGAACACTATTTACATTTTTATGGTCTGTCTCTTCACACTTCCGTGAAAGAGCCACAAAAGCCAGGACCCAAGGGTATCTTATCCATTTCTGTATCCCAGTGCCCAGCACATTGTATTTGTTAAGCCATATTTTATAGTTTATTAACCAGTATCTCTTTCAAATGTGGGAGCCCATAATCTTCCAGTTTGGTCACACCAACAAAGACTAGAGAGGAATGATAGGGTTGGAATAGAATTCTCTGGTTCCTTCCAGCTCTAATATTCTATGATTGTGTGAACTTGTTCTATCAAGTACCATTGTAATTAATAGAGTAAGGAATTTAATTAGTGGTCTGCTGTTGTTAATTTGTTTGGTAAGCAACTGTTAAATGAAATGACTGGAATCAGTGTTCCATTCATAAATTCAACAAACATTTGTCGAGTGCCTACAATGTGTTAGGCACTATATATATTGTCCCATATAACAGATGTAAGAGCAGAAGGCCTGGGATGGGGTGAGTGGTCAGGAGAGGTGATGGGGACCTCCCACTGCTAATTCTGCAGGAGGTCCAGGGTTCTTTGATGTGGCTGGTGCTAGTCTGCTTATCACTGAGGGGAGAAGAGGCTCCCAGTGGCCTGAGTGGAGGGGTTACCAAGCTGCAGCTGCAAGGGACACAGAGCAGCATTCACCAAGGCACAACAAGCAGCCTCTATCTGCTTCACAACTGAGGAGCTGAGGGCCCCCACACAACAGCTGTTTCAGGCAGTGGGAGGAGAGGAAGATGTGGTCTTCGGGTCCACCCTGCCACAGGACCAACACCAGATTTTACGCCACATCTAGGGCTTGAGGCTTCTTCTGTGGCTGAACAGCGTGTTTGGGCTTTCTCTGCACGATCCTTTCTTTCTGCTTTCATAGGCCTTGTCAGGCAGGGCAGGGTTTAGCAGTTGCATTCTAAGGCGAGGAGAGGAGGGCTCAGAGCATTGCATGACCTAGGAGGGTCAGAGCCAGGACAAGAACCTAGGGGTACTCCTGGCCCTGGAATAACGGAGAGAACATGGGCTCCGCAGTCTACCCCTGGATGAAATACTCTTCATTTGATTACCGCCCCACCAGCATCCTTTCTGAAACAAAGTACCTCAGTTTCCTCATTTGTAAAATAGGGAGAAAAATGTCCTCCTTACAGGGTTCCTTGCAGAATCAAGGGCATAATGTGAGTGAAAGCGCTTTGTAACTAACATACAAAGTGCTCTCCAGACATTTGTTACGGTTTTAAACCGCCAGGCAAAGCTTCCTCTTGCAGTTACAGATTAGGGGCTCCTACTCATCTGACTTTGTTCCACTTTCCACTCCTCTTCTCCGTCCCTCCCCTTCCAACAAAGAGAGGAAGTGAGAGACGCAGAGGCACGCGTCTAAGGACCAGTTTAGCTGGCCCTGGGTCACATGCAAGATTTGCCGCCCCACGGGGTGAGAGCCAGTGTGAGGGGCGCCCCCGTCCAGAACTACATTTCCCATCAACCCTTTCGCGGCTCCCGGGCGGCAGCGACCAGGCGCATGCGCCGAGTACCGCCACGCCTGGTCTCCGGGACACCCCTCCGGACCGGTTTCGCCTAGCTGTGCCGGTAGGTCCCGGTGCAGCGGCCGCAGTGCTGCCTCCCGGCGCCGCGGGCTGTGGCGGTCTCAGGTGTGCCGAAGCTCTGGTCTGTGCCATGATCCGGCAGGAGCGCTCCACATCCTACCAGGAGGTACGAGGTTGTGAGAGACGGAAGGGAAGTTTGAGGCGGAGGAGCAGGGTCCCGGGGGTCTGGGCGGATGCGGGCCGGGGTTGTCGGGGCTGCGCGGCAGAGGGCTCTTCCTGTCTCTTATACACATCTAGATGTGTATAAGAGACAGCCAACAAAGACTAGAGAGGAATGATAGGGTTCCTTCCAGCTCTAATATTCTATGATTGTGTGAACTTGTTCTATCAAGTACCATTGTAATTAATA